CTCATCCTAGTCCTGCCCCTCGTCTACCGCCGTACTAACACCATCGTTGCTGGAACGATAGGAGTGCCTACATGTATACTAACTGGGGCTGCTGTCGCTGATACTGTTGAGATCCCCACTAGTGTACTAGTTGGGGCCAGATGCTCTGGCACTGCTCCCTCTGGAGTAGTCGTGGTGCTCGGCTATGCTCCAACTGAAGTCTGCTGCCTCCTCTCACTAACCCTAGTGAGGTCCGCTACTACCCTCCACAACTCTCGGATGTCCACCATGAGTCCAGTCAATAAGTCCACTGGCACTGTCACACTCGAACCCATAGTCGACTCTCGAGCTCGTCAACAGTCCTTCCACGACCTCTCCCTCGCCCTCTCCCACTAATCGGAGGTCGGGTTAACCCACCCGCGGAATCTCTCAACACCTCGACGTTTGTAGCCTCTCGAGAATTAGTGGGCACCTCGCCCATCGTCAAAGATATGTCCCTCAACGAGTCCATCTATGTACAAAATAAAGGATCAGAAAGATATCAAAGGAATCGGGCACACAAAGGAATTGAAAAGCCAACACCAAACAAACCCTAAAATGTCTTCGGTAGTCCTCCCATTATGAAAGTGGGGCCCTCACCCTTATAATAAAAGCACTACCAAATAACCCCGCTCCCTTATAACTCTCAGAATTAAACTTATAGCTCTGATACCACTCTGTCACTCCCCGAACCCCAGGCCCGTGATCGGCATTAGGATCCACCAACCCTAGTAAGCCTCAACAAAACAAGTCGAACTCCGAAGATACAAAATATACGCAAAGTGCAATAATATAACATCCAAAAATCACTCGGGATCCTGTCTGAGAGTACAAGGAAGTTACTCTAGAATACAATATAGAAAAGATACAAAAGAGATATGCCCGTACATCGATCAAATTCGCAGGTGCTGTCTCCCACACTGGCACGTTAAACGAGGTAGGTACAGTCAAACGAATCTGGAATGATTAAAACTATGAGTCGCAAAACTCAGTGAGTACAGATGATACCTAATCTATACATGTTAGGATATGTATCATGCCACAAGTACAAAACCATACATACACATATATATACAGTGAGTAGTAATCAAAACACATATGTGAGGTATCAAGGTAATCAATCATCACATCACATCAAACACAGGGCCAGTGTACTCCTCACACGCTACGGCAGAACACCGTCCGCTGAATAAGCCCCTAGCCACACAACTCATCTCATCGCCGGGCCAAGGTACTCCCCGTACACTACAGTCCACTGTCCGTCGGCTGAGCTTACCATCCCGTATCCAATCCTCATATCACATCACTAGGCTAGTGTACTCCTCGAACGCTACGGTAGCACACCGTCCACCGGCTAAACCCCTAGCTACACAACTCATCTCATCACCGGGCCAAGGTACTCCCCGTACGCTACAGTTCACCGTCCGTCGGCTGAGCTTTCCATCCCAGACACATCAAATCATGAGACCGCTGTCTCGTTTTTTCACGATCGGAGGAATCCACCGTCTCAACGATCGAAGGAATCACACTAGTGCATATCACATACGCTGCCGCTACCGCCCGCGGTCGCTGCCACCTCACATCACATGATACCATCCTCACATGCAGTCAAAAACAGGTATATATAGGCATATACAGTTTATATCTCAAAAAACAGTATCACATACCAACATAACTCACTGGCAGTTCATAAAACACATAACACATCCCAAGTATAATATAGTCAAAATACAGTTTCCAAACCACATAATCATCATGTCAAAAACCACAGTAAGAAAACACAGGTATAGAGAGGGTATCATCACTCATAGTACAAGGGCTGAACAAAAAGGAACTCTCGATCTCCCTCACTCGACTCGCTGACCAGGATGCGCCTCCACCAGTGTATCTCTAACCAAAATGCACAGAACCATCACCATCGCCGAAATTGGCACAAGAAACAGGCTCGGTAGCCTCAAACTGGACTTAAATCCCAAATCAACCCCCTGGCACGCATCTCGAGGCAAAACGACCTATCACCAGAACCTACGTGACTCACTAACATTGAACAAATCTACTTAACTGCCCTTAACACTACGGAACAGCCTCCACAACCTTGAACCACAGCGAACCGGCCTTCAAAACCCTTGAAATGGCTTAGCCTAGTTCAAAACTACCTCTAACTCAACTCAAATAACCATGAAACCCTCAAAATCGGATTCAGAAGGCCCAAAAACCCTGGCGACCGGTCTAGCCCTGCCAAGAAGGCCTTGAACTGGCCCTGAACCAGGCCAAAAACCCTAATCCTAAACACTAGCACGCAAGTTGAGACTGGTTCACCTTGAACCAAACCTCCAAAAATCACCAAACTTCATAGTTAGCTAGGTTTCATCATGTTGAACCAAGAACCGGTCCAAACTCTCCAAGAACCGACCTAAAAACTAGTGAACCGGTCACCTGAAGGACAACACACTAAACCGGCCAGTTCACCTCGAACCAGTCATCCAAAATTTCCCAAACCCCACTTGGTTTGATAGGTCTCATCCCCCTGAATCCAGAACCGGTCCAACTTCCCAAATCCAAGCCCATTTGACCACTGAACTGGCTGGTCAAAGCCACTGGCCGGTTCAGTCAAACCCCCCTTCTCTCTCTTTTTTTTTTTTTTTGTAAGTCGGGCCGCGAGCAAGCCCGCGACCCCGTAGCCCAGCTGGCCAACCTGGCCCAGCCGGGTCAGCCTGGTCTAAGGTGGGACCCGGACCCTTTTTGGGTCCCGTCTTCCTCGCCCGAGACCCGGGCACCTAACCCGTTCGGAAATCCGGGTCTGCAACATGACCTGGATCGAAATTTTGAAAAAAAATCAAGTTTCCTCGCATACCTAGACCGGCTACCACCCCAGATCGATGCTCCCACCTCCGACAAACCAGAAGAAACAGTTTTATCGGACCGAAAAGTGTTCTTCAAGCTTCAAAAATCCGATCGCACCTCCCGACCATCCGAAACTACCGACCAACGCTTAAGCCAAAAAAAATCTCCTCTCCAACTCACGATCCTTCAAATAAATAGAGGGGAAATGCTCACCTGATTTAAAAACTGAAAAATGTGCAAAGATTTTTCCCAAATCATGACTAATCATAACAATATGGCAACGAACAAATCTAGGTAATGTTTCTGACAAATTTCTATTCATCTGCAACACAACCCCTTAAACTCTGGTTCTTCTCAAACAGGTCCCTGAGTAATTTTCACTCCAGCCCCCAGACATTTCAATTCCTACAAATTAGTCCTTGATCAAATAAAAATTAAAATTTTGGGTTGTTACAGATGAACAAAGTACTTTTGAATTTAAATGAATGTTTGGTGGCAATAATAATTAGAGGTGTTGGAATTTTAGCTTCTGGAAGGAACACTTTGATGGTGGAAATGCACTTATTTTTGGAAAAAAAATAATTACCCATCAAGACTGTTTAATAATTAATTACGCAGAGAGTCAAAATGTATTATTTGGGATCAAAAAAAAAATTACCAGTTAAGGATATTTATGTTGTCAAAATACTCAAATTACTACAGTTATTACAATTATAATGTCATAGAATTATAACTTATAATTTATAAGTTTGAATCTATATAATTACAAGTACGAATTTGATTAATTATAAGTGTATATTTCTATAGTTGAAAACCTATAAATAACTACATAAATACATGATTGTGACAAATCCATGCTTGTAACAATTGCAGTAACATGAATATTTTAAGAATCTAAATATTCTTAAGTGACAATATTTTTTTCTTTCAGACATTCAATGGAAATATTTTATATTTTAACTCTTCAAATTATTAATTTTACTCAACTATTCGGTTCGATAATTTTCCTTTCACTTTTTTCTACTAAATACAAATAAATAAATAAATAATGTTTTCAAGGCGTTGTTAACTCTTGGAAGTCGTATCATATGTCTCTTTAACTTTAATTATATGGTATGGATTTTATTCATATACCAAAAATTGTCCAATTATGAATATGTAGTATGTGACTTTATTGAAATAGGCCAGGAGGTCTTCCTGTCCCTGACATCTTTTCCTACCCTTTCATAAAAACAAATGAAAAACCCTAAAGCCCTCTTCAAGGAGGTGCTAGAGGAAGGTTACAACAGTGATCAATGCAGCATTATTGTTGAATTGAACTATATATAGCGTCCAATTGGTGTATGAAATGGCTATACAACTTAGCCTCCAGCGCCCCCTAATTTGTGGTATTGGAGACCGCAAGTGAATAAAAGCTTTCTGTCCTTCTGCTACCCAAAGAAATCCAAGTCGGGTCACCGCCCAATTCCTCAAAGACAACCAGCAGATTCCCACTAGGTTTCACCCAAGAGCGCGGGACGTGGTACCTGAGATAACAAGGATTATGAACATGGTTATGAAAAATCAAATCCATTGGTTCAGCTGCAGTTCAACTAAATTTACATTATAGAAGCGATTTAAATGCAAATCAGCCAAAAAGAAACAGCAGAAAGCTTCTCTTTCTATTTTGGGATGCAGGTGCGGATCTTGTCCTTTGGCCCACTACGTTTTTATGCTCCGAACAGAACAGAACACTAAGCCCCCAGTCAACCTGTCTGTTCAACTGACCAGTTTGCATGAAATTTTTTCTGCATTCACCTGGTTTTTTCAAGTTTGGTCCGGTATATGTGCATTTCTCATAAATTGATTGAACTAAGCCAGACCACTCGCTATTCCTAATTCAACCAAAGAATTTATTTGTTACTGGTTTTTTCTAATTCACTAGTTTAGTGGTTATAGCATTTATAGTATGAGATCAATATGAGTATCTAATACCCATTTAATGGGTACTATAACCCTGATCTACTGGATTAGTTCCTAGCTTTAAATACAACATCAAATGAAGTCAATTGAACTGGCTGGTCTGATCCTGTATGATGAGAAAATTTACTAATAAATACACAGAAAAGGGGGGGGGGGGGGGGGGGGAGGATGATAATCTAGGACTTTTCGCACCATCTTTGAGTGGGTTGTCCACAATTACTTTGGCATTTGTTCTGATCGAAGGTTCCGATATAGCTACAATCACTACAGTTACCACGGGCTATGTATGCTGGCCAGTGGCGTCCGAGGCTTTCACCATTTATCCAAACCAGACCTTTTCCCATGCTATTCATGTCCAAAGCTAACGGTTCATCGCCTGCCGGTGCATCAAATGTTGTCTGCAAGGATCATTTAAGTTAATTTGAAGTATCCTTCAAAATATACAAGAGTTTTCAATGCATTAATTACTGGGCTCTTTGGATGATTCTCACCTTGTACCAGGTCAGGGGTTTTTTTCGAGCCAACAATGATCCTTCCACCCAGTCAACAGACGAGCTTCCGGCAGACGTATGGAGATTTAAAGCTTCACCTTTCACACCAACCTGCACAATTCACAAGTCTTCACAACTAAGTTGAATATTCAGCTAGTTTGTTTAATTCTCATCCCTGCAACTACATTTATTATCATTACCCAATACTGTTGAAATGAATAAAGTACATATGCAGAAGTGCGGACAATGAACATTGAAAGCAACCTTGTAAGACCACTTCTGCATTGTCAAGTCTCTTGTTCCCTCATTGAGACCCTTCAGAGTGACTGGGCCAAGAACCCCAGCATTCCAAGTCTCCAAATGCAGACCAACATTCTGAAATTCATCCAATTAAATATACTTCAGCTATTCTTCCCACTGCCATCATTAAAATTCAAACAGTGCAAACTTCCAATTGAAAATCTAACCGGAAGGCCAACAGTGACACTGAGTAGCGATATCTTGTTAACACCCGCCGATAACTTCACATAGTCAGTAAATGTTAGCTTTGGTTTGTCCAGTCCCCCGTACACAAATCCTGCCATGAAAATATATTAGCAAAACTGGATGACAATAAAGCTTATTCTTGAGAGTAATTACCATTTTACCTAAATGTTTGCCGTTGATAAAAACATGCAAAGCATGGCCTGCTGACATGACTGTTAGAAGAGGATACTGTCCAGTTTTCAAGAATTCTTCATCAGCATCTATGTTCACACTAGAGAGAGCAAGAGGACATACAAAACAAGAAAATCAGTTTGAAGCAACTGCTAAAGATGGTGAATGGTTATCAAATTGTAACATAAATTTGAACTCTGGGCGATACTGACTCTGTGAGGTACCACAGATAGTCAGAGGTATCTCTAGTCACGTTTATTTGCTCCCACAATCCATCCATTGCAAGTGTGTCTGAATCGTCAGCAGAGACAGGTTCTTCACTGTATGACTGCCAAGAGAATCCTTCACTACTAACTTTTTCCATTTTTGTCACTGAACTTTGGGAGCTAACCTGTTAAAAAAAATTTTTGTTTGGATGTTAAAATCTCATCAAAAATTGAGCTAGTAAAGTAATGAATAATAAAGTTATCCCTCTTTATACAAACTCGAACTTTTAATGAGATGGTGGCCAGCGGACCTAAAACTTAAATTTCTCTGTACACAAGCCTAACCACAACAAACTTTATGAGTAATATTGATAAGAAATTACAGTAAAAATACAGAAAATTTGATGCTTTATGTTTTCCAACTTTTATTTTTCATTTTCCCCTTTCCCTTCCAAAATAATGGTCCATTTGTTTACCTTTGCAGTGTTGAAAACAGCTGTCTTGCAGTCTGGGAGAATACTAACAGACCAAGGAGGCAGGTCATAATTCATATTTTGGAAGGTCACTGTTGCTGAAGATTCTGTGTCATAGTTTGCAAGGAATGCAGCACAAGCTGAATCGGATTGAAATACATGAACCTGGAAATGAAGTACATAAACCAAACTTGTTTCAATTATTGAATGAAAAAGAAAAATAAAAAAAATAACTTCACATGAATCAAACTGCAGTAGATATGCACAACTAATAACTTTTCCACAACCTCAAGATTGTTTCCAGGCCAAGTCACTGTAGGATAAGCAGAAACCAATGCTGGTTCACACAACTTGATGGCTTTATGCAAATCTCTCAGATGTCCCCATTTTGGTTCCCTCAGTAGTCCTAGTAAAAATTAGAATGATTATAATGATCTCAAATGTTATATTAGGGTGTTAGTACAAGTCAGAATGCTGATATGCTATGGTTATTTGACTTAATTGCTTAATAAGATCACAGTACAAATATGAAGCCCAAGGAAACAATGGGGAAGGTTATCTTTCTGTATATATACCATATTCATCGATTGGAGCATCATAATCATAACTTGTGGCAATAAATAGACCTGGACTTGTCCTGCCAAAGTTTGTTCCTCCATGGTACTGGTTCAGAAAAATGAAAATGATAAGTAAAAGATCAAAAATCTGACTAGATTTCATATAAAGTGAACTCTGTAGAAACACTACTAAATATTGAACTCACCATGTAATAGTTGACAAATGAACCACTATTCTGTATAAACCTTACAACTGCAAATGCCAGGTCTTCCACAGGTCTATGAGGGACAGGCCCACCAAACTTCATGTACCTGTGGTTCAAACAGAGCAGAAATTAAGAAACTGTGGGAGCAAGTGAAAGAAGCAGGCAAACACTTACCAGCTAAGAATTATAACAACAAAAGAAGAGAGAAGTAAAGTTCTGGCTTCATCAGGGTATTTGCATCACTTACCAGCTAGTCCAAGCTTCAGTCCAGATTTTGGGGTTGTCCTTGTTATTTGGTTGAAAGCCTTGGCAGTAAAAAGCATTGCAAGTATCTATCTGTAAGATGATGAAACACACCTTCAACTTTAGTTATTTATTTTTAACTTCTTAAAACTCTAATCTCATAAGACAAACGTTAATAAGTTTTCAGTCCTTACAATGGGTTCAGGAGCATCTTCTTGTTTGCACATAATCCAAGGAACACCAGTGCCAAGACTGACTGCCAAACCAGCTGCCCAATTCATATAAGCCTTACCAGGGGTACCCAGTTCCCATTCTATTGGGCCATATTCATTCTCTATCTGTCATTTCCAATTTAAAAGAAGTTTAAATAATGACATGATCATAATCACTAAAAGTGACAGGAATCGTTTCAGAAAGAATACTAATGACTAGGATACGAATGACTAGGACTAGGTGATTTTTATACCTGGGACATAATAATTGGACCTCCCTGGGATTCGAACAGATTTTCTGACTTCATCATATTAACAATTTTCACCGTAAATTGTTGCATAGCATCCTTTGACATAGTTTATTGGCAGTTGAACTCAGTCAAATGAATTAAACAAATGGTAAACATAGAAAAATTTAATCAAAGATAGTGGCAATTCAAACATGTAAGGGAAAGGTTTCAGATGATCATCAACCTTGAAGGGTTCATTGTCAGTTCTAAAAGCAATGCCAGGGACATACTTGAGCCAAACAGGAAATCCCCTGCATCAGAGCAAAATAGAAGACATACATGTTACCCATGAAAATATACAAGATTTACAAACATAGATATATATTACATATAAAAATATTAAATGATTATGGTTATTGAGAGTATTACCCAAAGTTCCATTCGGCACAAATATAGGGGCCAATTCGGAGATGAACGTAAAGGCCTGCCTGTTGAACCAGTTTGATGAACCGGACCACATCAAACCTCCCCTCAAAGTAGTACTGGAAATAATCATAGGAAGAGAACATTACTAATCTTCCCGTAGTTGCTGAATTGGGGAAAAAGTAAATGAAGTCGAGAGTGGGAAGAAAAAGTTAAATATCTTTTCTATACCTGTCCAGGAGAGGGCTCATGTCCATTCCAGAAGACGTATGTGTCAACAACATCCAATCCTCCATCCTTAGCCTTCTGTATAATGTCAGGCCACATCTGCTCCGAACCAAAAAATATTAATGAAAAACACACCGAGGGAAATGAAAAATCGAATCAGAATATAAACGGAGGAGGGTATCCATGGTCTGTTTGGCTTAAAATTTTGGTTTATAACCCAGAGAACTAAATTGTTAGGATGTTGCAGCTTGTGGGGGTTTCTAGTTTTTAGCCAGGAGGAAGTCAGGCATCCAGACCATAGCACACTAGGCAGTAGGGCATAATACGTGAAAAGGAGGGGGCTAGAATACCTCAGGGGTGCTTCTGGGATAATGGATGGAGCCAGAGAAGAGAATTTTCCTTTGCCCATTAATTATAAAGGCCTTGTCATCGTAGGACACTGAAGCTGTAACCGAAGAAGAACAAACCCATGACAAGAAGCCTAAAACCAGTAAGAGATTGTTGATTTTCCACATGATTAACAGGCTGTTCTCTGTTCTACTCTGTAGAAAAAATGAATGAGAGGGAGAGAGAGATGCAGAGTTCGAGCTCTCTCTGGGAGGAGAAATGGGGACTGAAATGTATTTATAAGGATTTAGGAAGGCGGGACTTTTCTGTAGCTCTGATTGGATGGTAATCTGCTTATGTCAATTGACAATCATCTTGAAACAATTTTATTTTATTTTTGAACTTAAAGAAAACTAATACATTTATTTTAAACTTTCACCTAGCGAGTAATTTTTTTTTTAATTTTAAAAATTGATAAATTTATTTCGAATTATATCATCTATAAATTTATTATCTGATTTTCCTACTATTAGTTTACATTCTCACTCGGCTAGTTTTAAACAGAGGAGAGTAGTGAATTTTTAAAATTGCCCAGAAATTTAATAAAAAATTAATTTCTCACACTCTCTCTCTCTCTCTCTCTCTCTCTCTCTCTCGTAGATATGTTTTAATATCCTTTCTGAAACAAATTCCAACATGCAAGAGTGTTTTCACGAGGTTTCATATAATTATCGATATTTACTCTAACTGTACACCTAATTCAAGCCAGTCAATAATAATAAAATTCTCCCAATTAGCCATGCTCTCTTTTGGCAAGAAAAATGTAAAACATTTAAAATACTAATAAATTTTTTTATAAATTATGATTAAAATAAAAATAAAAAAATTCTACATAATTTAATACAAGCAGTAATAAAATTTGTTATAAACCTGTCGATTTCAATATTCAGTAACTGTAAAACAATTTTAATTGATTTACATGATAATTTTTATTAAACGTATGATTTCAATATTTTAATATTTAATATCTAGTTATATTTTACAATTAATTTTACTGATTAAACTATTTTTTAATTTTTATTTTATATGGTCCAATTTTATAATTTGTTTTTTTTAAAAAAAACACGGAGCCTTTAGCTTTTTCTTATAGGTAGTTCCCTTCATTTGTTCCCTTGATCGCTACAATAAACCATACTTCTGGCATAGGCATCATAAAAGTTGAAGAGGGATGAAAAGTCAATCAATTTAAAAGATAAGTGTTCTTCAACTTCTTGATTTCCTATATACGAACTAGGAACAATCATCACTAATAATAGCCAATTTCTTTCTCTTACAATTCTGAAAAAGCTGCTTGTATTTTAAGACATGCTAAACGAGGCTTAAACTTGAAACTACACTCTTTTATTAGTTACAAAAGTCCATGCAAATTGTCAGCCTCCCATAACTCGTCATCCTCAATGGAAAATTAAATAAATTTATTAATTTTTTATTCGTGTAAATAAGTCGGATGTAAATTAGATTTGTCAAGTCTATACCCGGACTCAATTAACGAGGTCTAACCCATTTAAACATAAATATATGGAGAAAATGTGGGAAAATTTCTTTGTTGGTGTCACGCCCCGTTCCGGGCACGTGACTGGCACTAGGGTTCACTAACCCTAGCGAGCCTCGAAACATCCAAAATAATAAAACCCAACAATATAAAAAAAAAAACCAAGATTTGCTGTCTCAATACACGAAAACCAAGATCTGTCTAAGAGTTCAAAAGAGCTACTTCTAAAATACAATGGATAGATACAAAACAAAAAATGCCCGTACATTGATAAAGCTGCAATCGCCTAACTCGGACTCTGGTGCACTAACTGAGACAAGAACAACAAATCAGATCTGAAAAATTAAAAATGGTAAGTTGCGAGACTTAGTGAGTACAGACGATACCTAGACTATACATGTTAGAGTATGCAACGTGTTTCAATCAAATACTACATATACACAAGTAATCCCAGTGAATAGTAATATGTAAAATAAACATGTGAAGTATCACCGTAACCAAACCATCACATCACATCCACTGGGCCAGAATACTGCCCACACGCTACGGCAGCACACTGCACGCGCAGGCGAGTCCTCGGTGTCCCAAAAATCGTCCTAACACGAAAACCAAGGCACTCTCTGTACGCTACGACCCACCATCCGTCGGCTGAGCCTGCCATCCCAGACACGTCATCAATGTGCACATCATACTCGCAACCCCTGCTGCCTCAACAAGGACTCAGGCCGACTCACCAGTGGACCCTACAAGTCACCGTACGTCCAGCCGAGCTCCTTCCATCCCAAATCACATCACGTGGTACTATCCTCACACATAGGTCACAAATAGGTATACATATGCATATACGGTTCATATTCCAAATCTCATAACAACATATCAATACAGCTCACTGATAGTATACAAGGACACATACATAGTCCAGATATAGTTAAGAAGTCACATAATCATCATGCCAATAAAACAATATGGAAACACAAGCATAGAAAATGTATCATCACTTACAGTACAAAATTTGAGTCAAGAAGGAAGTCTTGATCACCCTCACTCGTCTCGCCGATCCGGGTGTACCTCCTCAGACATATTTGAAAAACAAAACCACATAGAAACATAACCAACCTCAAACTCGGTACAAGAAACAAGTCCCGTAGCCTCAAACCGGATTCAAATCCAAATCGACACTATGGCATGCATCTCAAGACATCGAGACTGGCCACCGAAACCTACGTGACTCTCAACACACAATAAACCAGCTCAAAACCCTCAATCAAAATAGAACTACTCTCCACAGTCTGCTAAACACAGCGAACCAGCCTCTAAAGACCCCTAAACCGGCCTAGCTGGCCTAAAACTACCTCAAGCTCAACTCAAACGGGCACGAAACCTTTGAAAATGGATTCAGAAGCCCCAAAAACCCTAGGAACCAGTATGAACCGGCCAAAAATGACTCAAACCAGCCCTGAACCGGCCAAGAACCCAAACCCTGATCATCGGCACGCAAAACGAGGCCGGTTCACCTTGAACTGGACCTCCAAAAAGCATCAAACTTCACAATTATATAGGTTTCCATGCGATGGGCTAGGAACCGGTCCAAACCCTCCAAGAACCGGCCCAAGAACCCTTGAACCGGTCGCCCGAAGGAAATCCCACTAAACCGACAAGTTCACCTCAAACCGGTCACCCAAAATTTCCCCGAACCCACTTGGTTTGATAGGTTTCATCCCCCCGAATCCAGAACCGGTCAAAAAATCAAATTCCAAGTTGAATTGGCCGCTGAACCGGCCGATCAACCCTCTGGCCGGTTCAGTCAAAACCCCTTTTTTTCTTCTTTTTTTTCAAGTTAGCTCGCGGCTCGGCTTGAGCCGCCAGCCCAGCGGCTCGGCTCAGGCCCACCTGGGCCCGCCCAAACTCTCTCTCTCTCTTTTTTTTTTTTTTTTGGCTTGGCTTGCGGTTCAAGCCCGCGAGCCACCTAGTCCACTGGGCTGGCCCAACACACGGACCCGGACCCTTCTAGGTCCGTCTCTCTCACTCGGCAACCCGGGTCTCTGACCCGGGTGCCTGTAACACCCCCGTCACCCGGAACAAAATAGAAAACCAACCGAGAAAGGTGGCCTACCTCAGTCCGACGACCTCCCAGAACCACCGTCCAAGCCCGGCGAACCACCAGCAGCCTTTGAACACTCGGAAAGCCGACCAAAAGCCCGGAAAAAGCCGCCGGTCAGTCGAGTCCTCCGTCGGCCTGAAAGCAAGAAAATTTCCTACTCCTTCTCACTCAAAACTCTCAATTGGTTAAGGGGTTTGGTTGAGTCCTCAAATACACGCAAAAGCAAGTAAAAAAGCTGCTCCAAATTTCTGCCGAATGCGGCTGTATCAGTGAAACCATCATTCGGTTCACTGTTTGACAGGTTTTTCTAAAATTCAAATTTTGGTCCCTTGACTTCGTTGCTCTCACGGATTGGTCCTTGAACAAGTTTTTGATTCAGTCCCCTAATTTTCCAATTCCCTCACTTCGCCCCCCAGTTGTTAATTTCCTATATTCGGGTTATTACAGTTGGTCTCTCAATTTTAATTCAAATTTCACCTTAGTTTCTTATGTTTAAAAATTGACATCACTGTTCCACATTACTCATTGAAGCCACTTTTCGGTGACTTCTAGATGAAATGCTCACATATGCTTGATGGGTATAAATTTTCAAGGATATATTAGTAAATAAAAAAGTGGAACAGGGCTTCAATTTATTCTTCTTCAAATACAATGCACAGGTGGAGAAGGCAATTTCATGGCTTTACAACCCAAACGAATTATTGCTTTCTGGCTAGGGTTCATCATCATCGCGAACAACTATTATTCTTGTTTGTCGCCTTTCCCATTTCGAGTTCTGTTTTTAACCTTCGAATTAATTTCACACTTCGAATGATGAAACTCTAGCCATGCCACACAAAGATCCAATCTTCCATAGATGAGTTTTACATGCCATACGAGCTAGCCAATTTCCTCCCATTTCGTTGTATTACTTCAAGTCAGACTCGGTTGTTCAAAAGCTTTCTGAACACGAACCTAAAAATTAGGGCAGTAGATGGGTTTCTGAATCTTGAAGACAAATTATGGGCATCTTTCTTCAGAAACTCGTAGGCAAAGTAGCAATTGAGAATGCCCTGTCAAACGTTATTGTTGAATTGAGAATTGACATGGTTGCAATTGTCATGAACAGAGGAAATTTGGGTGGAGAAGTTTACTAATACACCCTTACAAAAATATAGTATGAAGCAAACACAAGTTTTTTTTAGATAGAAGTGATTACACAGTGACTTGAGACATTAACATAAAAATTAAATTAAATAAAAGGGACAATAATATTAATTTTTAATTATAAAAGATTAAGATAAAAATTAATTTAAACTTGAGAGATCGACAAAGAATTTGCTTGATAAAATATACAATAACCCAATATCTAGGTTTCACTTTTTTTTTTTTTTAATTATTTGCAAGTAAATCATAAAAGACTCTGATCTAAATCCTGAACTGCCACGACACAGGATCATTATCCAGTGAAATGGATCTTGCAAGTCCAAAATGAGGACTTGAATCTTGCCGACTCAGGTTCCAGTCCCCATTGACAGGGCTTTATTTCCACTAAGTACCACTTTCGTGGATTTATCCTTGAA